GGGGGACAGACTCAGAGAGAAGAGGCTAGAGACTGGGGGACAGTCACAGAGGAGGCTAGAGACTCGGGGGACAGACTCAGGGGAGGATAGAGACTAGGGGGGACAGACTCAGAGGAGGATAGAGACTGGGGGGACAGACTCAGAGGAGGCTAGAGACTGGGGGGACAGTCACAGAGGGGAGGATAGAGACTGGGGGGGTACAGACCCAGAGATTGGATAGAGACTAGCGAGAGACAGAGACTCGGAGAAAGGAAGGTAGAGACTGGATGGGAGGGCAGAGACTCAGAGAGGGGAAGATAGCGACTGTGGGGGACAGAGACTCACAGAGGGGAGGATAGAGACTGGGGGGGCAGACTCAGAGGGGAGGATAGAGACTGGGGGGCAGACTCAGAGGGGAGGATAGAGACTGGGGGGAACAGAGACTCAGAAAGGACGGTAGAGACTGGATGGGAGGGCAGAGACTCAGAGAGGGGAGGGTAGAGACTTGAGGGGCAAGACAGAGACTCAGAGAGAGACCAAGCGTGTCCACACTGGGCTGTAGTGTGGTGGGGGAACTGCTTCCCCCAGCCCCTCCCCCACCCCACCCCCAGACTACGATGAGAGAAACCACCTGCATGACGCCTTCACCCAGATGACCCACTCCCTCCAGGAGACGGCCACCGCGCAGGGTGAGTGGGGCAAGGACGGGGCCGTGGGAGACATGGGCTTGGAGCCCCCAGGAGGGGGATGTGTGTGCAGGGAGGGCCCCCAGAGCACGGCAGTGATCTGGGAGGAGGTGGCGCCAGGGAAGCTGAGTGAGCCTGGTTACTTGTTGGGGAGAAGGGATGGGCGATGCTGGCGGGAGGGGAAGGGACAGGGCAGAAGTGACCTGGAGTCTGAAGCCCATGGGGACCAGATGGTCTTGAGATCTGACCTGGCTGTGTGGCTCGCCCTCTTCCTCGCTATGCAGTTCTGGATGCATCACTGCCTCCCTCTGGGCATCAACTTACCCGCCTGTGAGGTGGGACGCTGTCCTTGCTCCCAGGATGGCCGGGAGCTCAGTGAGAGGAGGGGCCCCCTGAGGAGACAGACCTGAGGGAGGGGCTCTTCCTCCAGGAGGTAACACATCTGTTCCTCATAGTTAACAAAGGGATACCACATTTTTGACCTGTGAGGCTATTAGGGGGCAGGAAAACAGGTAGAAACAGGGAGAGGATCGTTATGTGATGGCCGTGAAGAGAGACACGCACACGTGACAGCCTCGGGGTGGGCAAGACATGAGAGCAGCTCGGGAGACACGTGTGGCTGTGCACAGGGACCTCGGGGCTGAGGGCACATTGGTGGCTGAGGGGCAGAGTTAGCAGTAATCACACCAGGTCACCATGGTCGCAGGACACGTGATCCCCCTGAACGTGCCGGAGACTGGAACGTTGCGGGTGTGGGGGAGGCCCCAGTGCTCTTGTGCAGCATAAAGCGGCTGCCTCGGAGGTCTGGGCTTATTTTTATGTTAAAGTTAGTCCTTTTGCTTCCTGCTCTTGCCCACCAAGCTTTTTGGCAAAAAACCGGCAAAGATGTGGAGGTTCCTGTCCATCCAGGAGGTGTCTGGGGGGGCCAGCATATGGGAGAGTTCAGCTATAGATCCCCCATCCCCAAAGCAGGCCCTGAGGAATGCAAAGCTGGCAGGGGGCTCGGGACCCAAGGAGAGACGCCCTTTCTCCCCACGTGCCATCTTGTCACAGAAGGTTTTGAAATGAGCAGGAATCAGTCCAGCTCTGGGTGTAGAAGACCCTCTAGAGCTGTGTGTGGGATGGTTTGGAGCCAGGAGAGAGTGGAGGCTGGGAGGCCTCGGTAGAGGCTGGGAGGCCTGGGTGGAGGCTGGGGTGAAGGAGGCCAGAGCAGGGGTGGGGGCTGTGAAGGTGGAGAAGAGGAGACAGGCCGAGAGAGTTGAGGGCAGGAGGGATGGGGCTTGGGTCTGATGGGCTGTTCAGGGGAGGGGATAGAGGACAGCGTCAGGGTCTGGCTCCATGCCTGGGTGGGCAGTGGTCATCCCTGTGGGAGGGGGCCCAGGAGAAAGAGCAGGAGTGGAGGCAGATGGTGAACTGGACTAGGACTTGGTGACTATGAGGGGCCCAGGGGATATTCACGAGGCAGCTAGATATACAGGCCCAGGGTTCTGCTGAACGGTCAGGGAGACTTGAGATTCTGTCCTGGAGGAGCAGGGCTGTGAGCAGGTGAAGGGCAGGGAGGCTCAGCTCTGGGTGTAGAAAGACCCTCTGGGGCCGTGTGGAGGACAGACTGGAGGCCGGGAGAAGCTGGTGCAATATGTTCCACAGATAGTTATTGAATGTGCCAGGAACAACACCGGGGACACAGCTGTGACCAAAACTGCACACCACCTGCCCTCAGGTTGCTTATATTGCAGAGGGGCTGGGGGGACAGATAATAAACACAGTCGGTGAAATACTATAGTATGTCCATTGTTGATCTGTTCTACGGAGGAAAACAGAGAAGGGAAGAGGATGAGGTGGCCAGTGGGCTGATCATTTTAAATAGGTGGGTCAGGGGAGGCTCAAAGGAGAGGGTCCAATTGAGCAAAGACCTGAGGGAGGTGACTGAGAGCCATGCAGATAACCTGAGGAAAGAGCAGTCCAGGCAGAGGGAAGAGCCAGTGCAAAGGCCCTGGGGCCAGTGGGGCTGGAGTGGAGTCATTGAGGGAGAAAGCGAGAGGAGGTGAAATCAGAGGCAGCAAGGGGCACATCCTGTAGGGCCCTCTCGGCCAGTGTTCTCAAGCCCAGTGTACGTCAGAATCCCCTGGGAGCTTAAGATGCAGACCCCTGGGCCCCACCCTCCGTTTCTGACAGTATGTCTGAGGTGGGGCCCGGAAATGGACATTTCTAGCAAGTGTCCAGGTGCTGCTGCTGCTGCTCCAGGAACACACTTTGAGAACCACTCTTGGAGGCCCTTGGACTGATTTCGGCTTTTGCTTTTGAGGTAGGGGAGCCATTGGAGGATTTTAAGGAGGGAGGGAGAGAGAGAGGATCTGACTAAGTCCATGGGGGATGAGGGCAGAAGCAGGGAGACCAGTGAGGAGATGGTCGGTAGTACTTGGGCCAGTCTCGGTGATCCAGATGGGCCAAGATGAGGGCTGAGCTGAGGGGGATGGGGCATGAGGCTGGAGCAGAGGGAAGATCAAGGATTTGACTATGTGCCAAACCTCCCTTATATGGGAGAGGCTGTATCTGCCAGACAGACAGTTTTTATGTTAATTATCCTCCTGAAGATATCCTCGTACCAGGCCTTTGAGGTGGGGTTTTATGGCCCCATTTTCCAGATGGCAAAGTTGGGGCTCAGCTGGACAGGGAAGATGGACCCAGGAGATCTGAACCGGATGTCAGTACGGTGAGGGGGATGGGAAGAAGCCAGGATGACCCCTGGGTCTTTCTCAGATGGAGGACCTGAGAGATGAATGTGCTGACTTAGAGTGGTTCTTGGTGGTGGCAGGTGAGACTATATAAACCACGCAGTGGGCAGTATGGTGTGGAGAGGAGGGGATATACCACAGGCAGTGGTTACATGTGGAGGCTCTGGAGCCCAACCGCCTGGCTTCCAGTCTAGCTACATGACCTTGGGCCACCTTCCTAACCTCTCTGTGCCTCAGTTTCCCCATCTCAAACTTGGGGAAGGTAGTATGAGTAGCTGACCCTTCCATAACACTCACTGTGTGCCAGGCACCATTCCAAGCGCTTACAGACATTATCTCATGCAATCATAAAGGGTGCCTGGCACATAATTTGGGATGAGGATGCTTTTACGTTGAATGCCATTAAATCCTGCCCCCAACGCTGTGAGGTAGACACTGCTATCATCCCCATTTTATGAAGGAGGAAACTGAGGATCAGGAAGGTTAATTCACTTGACCAAGGTCACACAGGGAGGAGGACTTGCAATGGATCGCTCAGATGTGAGACTGGTGTGCTCATAGATGGAGGAGCCAGGTCTCAAATTCAGATGATCCGAAACAGTTGAAGCTCCTAATGATGTGCACCTCTTTTGGGGAGACTTTAAAACATCCCCCTGCGCCGCCTTGTGGTTCACTTGATATAACCCTCCCCTTGGCCTCTTGAGACATTTCACTCCATCCCTCCTTGCCTGGTTTACTAGATAGAGAACACACCCCGCCCCACGCTCACTTGGTATATCCCACACTCACCCTCCCCGAGAGGTCCTGGGTTTGGCCCATAGATATTCCTTGGATGATGACTCCGACATCCTGGCCTCTCATTTGAACAATCTGACCACATCCTCCTGAGGATCCTGCCATCTCCAGACTACACGCCCGCTCTGTGGCCAAGGAAAGACCTCTAAGTCCTTGATCCCTCGTTTTGAACCCACTTCCTGACTTCAGTGACCCTCTCTCCAGCTTATACCCAATGATCATCACTTCAGCTATGCTTATGCCAGTATCCTCAATTCTCCCCGTTATGTATGGTTTTAAATCACAGAGGAACCTGCAATGGCATAAGCAAGCTAAAAGTTGATTTCTCCCATCTAAAATAAGTCTTGAGGTAGGCACTTAAGGCTAGTGTGGCAACTTTATATTTTTGGAGACCCAAGCTCCTTCCAGCTTTCGGCTCTACGACCCTAGGGTATAGCCCTTGTCCTCATGGTCCTATATGACTGCTAGAGCTCCAGCCATCAAATCCAAGTTTCAGACCACAGGATGGAAAAGAGGAAGGGATCAGTAAGATGGTACCACTTCTCTTAAAGCTACTTCCTTGGGGCCGGCCCCATGACGTAGTGGTTAAAGTTCAGCACACTCTGCTTCGGTGGCCTGGGCTTGCGGGTTCAGATCCCAGGCGTGGACCTACGCCACTCATCAGCCATGCTGTGGCGGTGTCCCACATACAAAGTAGAGGAAGATCAGCACAGATGTTAGCTCAGGGCTAATCTTCCTCAAGCCAAAAAAGAGTAAGATTGGCAAAAGATGTTAGCTCAGGGCTAGTCTTCCTCAGCGAAAAATAAAAAATAAAGCTACTTCCTGTGATTTCCACATGACACTTGCACTTACATCTCAATGGCCAGAACCTGGTCGTATGACCACACTAGGTGGTCACATGACCACAACTGACTGCAAGGATGACTGGGAAATGTAGTCTTTTATTGGGGGGTACTTTCCCAGCTGAAACGGAGTGTTCCGTTACCAAAGAGAAAATAGAAATTTGGAGGCACTGGCAATCCCCATGGATTAGTTTGCTAGGGCCACTGTAACAAAGTACCACAGACTGGGAGGCTTAAACAGAAATATACTTTTTCACAATTCAGGAGGCTATAAGTTCAAGATGGAGATGTCAGTGTTGGCAGGGGTGGTTTCTTCTGAGGCCTCTCTCTTTGGCTTGTAGATGACCATCTTCTCTCTCCCTGTGACCTCACATGGTCTTCCCTCTGTGTGTGCCTGTGTCCAGATCTCCTCCTCTTATAAGGAAATTAGTCATCTTGGATTAGGGCCCATGCTAATGACCTCATTTTAGCTTAATGACCGCTTTAAGACTCTGTCTCCAGTACAGTCACATTCTGAGGAAGTAGGGGTTAGGACTTCAACATATGAATTTGGGAGGGACACAATTCCTTCCACACTTCTGCTTTCTGGTTTCCAAAACCACCACTACATCAGTCTAGTCACCTACTTTGGAAAAAACCACAAAACCTTACAGTTTGGAGGCCGTGACAATGGTCAAAACTCAAACTCAAAACTCAGAGGAGCAGAAATGAACAGAGTCTGGGGACTATGGAGAAGGAATGGCTGCTACTGAGCTCCAGTGAATTGCTGCCTCTGGAAATACAGTCTCTGTGTTACAGTTCTTCCAAATCTTTTGAAAAAGATGCCAAACATTTTATGTGACTTTCCCAAATTTTATATGATGGCAACTGTTTCCTTTTTTTAATAATTTCCAGGCCAAATATAACACTTCCAAGAGATGGATTGGGGCCAGAGGCCACCAGTCGTGGTCTCACTGGAATTTATTCTACACATACTTACTGAGCACTTCCTAAGATTTGGCCCTCTCCTTGGTTCTGAGGACACAGCACTAAAGAAGGATATGTTCACTTCCTTAAGAGACAGACTTAAATGATCACCATTATATAAATATATATAATTGCAAACTGGTGAGAGCTCTGAATGGAATGAATGGGGCACTGAACTATGAGAGATAAATACAGAACTGGATTCCATTAGATTGTGGTCAGGGAAAACGTCTAAGGAGGTGACTCAAGGGTTGACATGAAGGATGAGTAGGAGCAGGGGGAAAGATGTGCTAGAAACAGAAGCCAGCATGTGCAAAGGTCCTGAGGTGCTGTTAGAGGAAATGAAAGGTGAGCAATAGGGATGGAATAGAGAAGGAGAGGAAAGTAGGCCAGACTATGAAGGGCCCAGTAGGCCTTGGTGACAAATGTGATCTTGATCCTCTGCTTTGCCCTCAACAAGATAAACACAGATGGTGCAGAGGAGGGGTTCCATCAGAGAGATAGTCGGGAGGCAGAAGGAAGGAGACTGGGGACTTGTCAGCCTTCTGGGTAGACAAGGTGGGAGGAGGTGGTGTATACCGGAGTCAGAGGGGTGGAGAGGGGCTGGGCAAGGGGCACAGACACTGTGACAGCAAGTCCTATCTAGCTTAGCCAGCCATAGGGGAAGGGCCTTTACTACGAGGGCCCCCTCCACCTTCCAGGGTCCTTTGAGGTTGCCTTCCCTGATGCCGCGGAGAAAATACAGAAGGTCATTCTACAGCTTAAAGAAGGTAAAATAGACTCCATTTCCTTCCCCCAGGCACGCACACAATTAGAGACCCCCATCTGCTCCCTCCAGTCCAATCTCCTGGCCTGATCCCTGAGCCGCTTCCCTTGTGGACCACTCTGGACACAGCCTCTTCCTCACATGGACCACTCTGCGTCTGGCCCGCCCCCTCCCCCAAAGGTGTCCATTCCAGCTAGGACCCCTTCCTGGGATGGTCCTGTCCAGATGAGTCCCGGCCTCTTCCTGGATCCCTGGGTCTGGCCCTGCACACACTGAAGGATTTTCTATACAACTGGGCCTCTTTAGTGGGCTACTTCTAGCCTGGCCACACCTCTTTTCTAACTGGACCCCCTAATTCGACCCTGTCCTCTCTGAGCATCGCCCAGGATCTAGCCCCGTCCCCTCGGTGGAATACACCAGGGCTGGCCCAGCCTCCTCAGCGCATGCAGCAGGCCTGCCCCCCTTAAATGGCTAGCAGCAGGCCTGTGCCTGACCCCTTAGTGGAATGCTGCAGGCCTGGCCTGGTCCTCAGGTGGTGTACAGCAGCCCTGGCCCCGCCCCTGGGGGAGGTGGCAGCCCTGGCCCCGCCCCTCGGAGGAATGCATCCGGCCTAGTAACATACCCTCTAGGTGAGCTTCAGGTGGGCACCTCCTGCGACTTCCAGGGTAGTAACGCTTCCTCTCTCCGCAGTCCAGGCCTGCATCCCTCCCTGCGGTAAGCACTTAATTGAAAGCTCAGAATTGCGGAGGAAGGGAGGTGGTCGGGGCTGAAACCTAGGACTTCGAGTGGGAGACTATGGGTGGGCCTCAGATCCGAAGGAGGCCAGTAAGAGCTCTGGAGAAAAGTCAGTCCACTAGGTATTTGTTCACAAACCTCATAAAAGGCGGGTCCGAAAGCCAAAGCAAACCACTAGGAATCCTAGTGGTGCGAGTCAGCCACTGAGCGCAGGGAAGGCGGGGTCCAGAGTCTGTCCGGCCGATGGAACCCAGGGAGGCTTAACACACGCTAAGTTGGCCAAGGGGACCCGGGCTGGGGAAGGCAGAGGGAGCCAGACCCGCCGTTCCCTCCCCACAGGACTCCAGGAGGTCGCCCGGCGCTTCCGCTGCCGCGGGTGCTACTCCGCCGTCTGCGACCTCCCGCTGGACTGCCCAGGTGAGGGCGGGGCCTGGAAGGGCCAGGAACCCGACGAACCGGAGCAGCGAGAGCAGAGCGGGGAAGGGGGTGGCCCGGGGCGCGGCCGGGGTGGTGACGCGGCCGTCTTCAGTTCAGGACGTGACGGTGACCCGGGGTCAGCAGGCCATGTTCTCTTGCACCGTGAACTTCCAGCTGCCGAAGGAGGAGATCACCTATTCCTGGAAGTTCGCAGGAGGTGTGAGTCGGGGCGGGGCCAGCGCGGAGGGTTTAGGAGGCGGGTGACGCTTCACTAGAGGATGGGAAGTGAGGGCCCAGGGGGATGGGACTTGGGGGAGCTCGGTCTAGATTCAGACTTCGTGCCAGGGGAGGGCCCAGCCATTCAGGGGAGGGGTCAAGGCTCAAAAAGCAAGGGCTCAGGGGGTGGCTGTGTGTAAGCATTTAGGGTGGGAGAGCAAGTTCTAGGCCCACGGGGCGGAGTCAGAACGTAGGAGGCGGGCTATGCAAGAAGGGTCGGCGAATAAGGACTGAGGGGTGGAGCCAGGGTCCAAGAGGGCGTGGTCTATCGCGGAGGCGGGGCTTTCCGTTGCGGTGTGGCGAGCCGGGGAGGGGCGCCGCTCCTCTCGCTGCTTCAGCCCCAGCGTCCGGCAGGTCCGGACTCAGGACCTGACCTACTTCCGAGACATACCGCGGGCCCGAGGATACCTGGCGCGGATCCGGCCGGTGCAGCCCACGCACCGCGGGACTTTCTCTTGCGTGATCACGCACGACCAGCGCCTCCTGGCGCGGCTCTACTTCTTTCTCAATGGTGCGGGCGGGGCTGCGCGAGGGGAGGGGCTGCGCGAGGGGCGGGGCTGCGCGAGGGGCGGGGCTCGCGGCCAGCTGATGTGCGCACTCCTATAGTGACGGGCCCGCCCCCGCGCCGGGAGACCGAGCTCCAGGTCAACTTTCGGGAGGTTCTACGCTGGGCTCCGCGGGAGGCGGAGATGATCGAACCCTGGACGCCGAGCCTGGGCGAGCTGCTGGCCAGGCCCGGGACTCTGACGCCGAGCAACCAGTGCCTGCTGGCGGCCGTCGCGGCCTTAGCATCGGCGACTGTGACTGTGTTGGCGTGGTGAGTCACCGGGACTCCAAAGTCCCAGCATCGGGCTCTCTCTCCTCTCAGAGCCCAGGAGTCCAGGCCCCTAGCCCCTCCTCCCTCAGACCCGGGAGTCCAGGCTCCCGGACCCCTCCTTCCCCAGACCCGGGAGTCCAGGCCCTTAGCCCCTCCTCCCTCAGATCCAAGAGTCTAAGCCCTATCCACCTTTGGGATCCAGGCTTCCAGAAGCCAGATTTCTGGTCCTCGGTCTCTCCCCCACACACACAAACGCCTCCTTGTCTCCCCAGGATGTTCTTTCGATGGTACTTCAGTGGCAACTAACAAAGGTATCTTTTTCTTTCTTGGCTTATTTGCATCCATAAAATAAAAAATATATTTCAGCTCTATGGATTTTCTCATCTTTGAAAGTGGTCTCTACTAACTGAGGGGGTGGGACAGCCTACCCCAAATATGTCCAGGTGTATTGGCCGCCACGATGACAGTAATATGCACAGCTTTCAGGGCACAAAGCCCTGTGCTGAGAGTTTTCGTTACAAGCTCGGACCCCTCGCCAGATTTCTGGCAGCCTCCTTGACATTTCCACTTGCAGAAGACACCCGCAGATAGAGTCCTAGATGTTGACTTGAATGTCTGTTTCTCCCTGGGCTTTCCTGCTATCATATAGGGCACCACCATCCACCCAGCTGCTCAACCAGAAACCTAAGAGTCATGTTTAATTCCTTCTCCACTTCTATTTCCAAGTCTCAGCCTTTAATTCCCAAACATCTCTCAAAGCTGCCCTCTCTCTATGGTCCCCACTGCCACCCACCATCTCTTGCCTGGATCACTGCAGCAGCGTACCCCCTGGCCCCCCTGCCTCTGGTCAGCCTTGCCCAGCTGCAGTCATTCTCCACGTGGCAGCCAGCATCATATTTTAAACTATGTCAGATCAGGTCATTCTGCTCAAAAGCATTCAGTGGCTCCCTCTCGCCATTGGAACAAAATCCAGTTCCTCGTCAAGGCCTGTGAGGACCCCGGGTTCTGGCCACCAGTCTTCTCCCTTGATTCTTCTGCCCCACGGTTTGTCTGGCCTGTGCTCCTTCCTTGTATTCATCATGATTCTTCTCACCTTCTTATTACATGCTGTCTCCTGCCTAGAGTAACGTTTTCTTCTTTTTTTGTCTAGTGAACTCAGTGATGATTTCCCCTGAAGAGCCTTTACATATATTAACCCATTTAATCCCTCCAACAACTATGTGCGGTCGGCACTGAATTTATTTAGTGACGCCACCTCCCTCTTGTCCCCCTCTTTACTCTCTAGCCCCACTAGTCTTTTTTTTTTGTCCCTTGAACATGCAAAGCTGGTCCCATCTCCAGGCCTTTGCATGTGCTGTTCTTCGTACTTGAAACGACTCTACTGTGAACCTCGCGAAGCCACCTGCCTCTCACCACACAGGTCTCAGCTCAAACGTGACCTTTGACTGCTCCCTTCCCCCCATGACCGACAACCTGTTTTAGCTTGTGCCTAGCGCTCATCCAGACCTAATGTAAACTTACTTTTCCATTTGGTTTTGTTTCTTCCCCACCTAAAAGGTAAGCTCCTTCTGGGCATGTACTCATTCTCCTTCACTGATGTCTTCCCCTCACTGATTCATTCATTCAGCGGAGATTTAGTGAGCGCTTACTATGTTTCAGACATTTTCAAGGCACTGTAGAGACAGCAATGAACAAGTCAGAACAGACAAAAATCTGCACCCACATGGAGTTTAGATTCTAGTGGATGGTCAGACAATAAACAAGAAATTTAAGGAAAATAAAATATGCATCAAGTCATATGTGTAATGGGGAAAATAAAGCAGGAAACAGAGATAGGGAATGCTGAGGGGAGAGAGATAGCAAGGATCTTTGAAGAAGGCCTCACATTTGAATAAAGAAGGCAACAGGTGAATGGGTAAGGAAGATGTGGTGTATATATATACACAATGGAATACTACTCAGCCATAAAAACCCACAAAATCATGTCATTTGTGACAACGTGGATGGACCTTGAGGGTATTATGTTAAGCGAAATGAGCCAGACAGAGAAAGAAATACTGTACGATTTCATTCATAATGTGGAAGATAAACACATGGATGAGGAGAACAGATTAGTGGTTACCAGGGGGGAAGGGAGTGGGAGGAGGGCGAAAGGGGTACAGGGGCACATAAATGTGGTGACGGATAAAAACTAGACTTGGGGGTGAGCACAATGCAGTCTATACGGTAACTGAAATAAGGTACACCCCAAATTACACAATGTTATAAACCAATATGACCTCAATAAAATAATTTATAAAAAACAAGAAGAGGATGAGGGCATGAGCCATGTGGACATTTATGTGAAGAGTGTTCCAGGCAGAAAAAATAGCAGGAGTGTGCTAGATGCCGGGGGAGTAACCAGGAGACCAGTGCCGCTGGGTCTGGCTTTAGGAAATGAGTGTGCAGTGAGGTCAGAGAGAACGCAGACCAGATCATACAGGATCTTGGCCACTGTCAGGTCTGGATTCTCCTCTGTATGAGGTCATGGGCAGTTCTGAGCCAAGGAAGGTCATGACTTGATTCTATTTACGTGGCTACTGCATGGCTAACAGGCTGTAAGAGGCAAGGCTGGAAGCAGGGGTCACTGTTAGGTGCTGCATTAATCCAGGCATGAGATAGCAGCTTCAATCCAGGAGAGACGCAGCTCGGGGACAAAGTGGTGACAAGATGAGGAGCAGTGGTTCTAGATCTCTCCTTAAGGTAGAACCAATGGGATTTGCTGATGGATCAGAATGTTGGGGATGAGAGAAAAAAGAGAAGGGTCAAGGATCAAGTCAGGCCAGCAGCAATGTCCCGTAGAACCCTCTGCTGTGATGGAAATGTTCTAGATCTGCGCTGTCCAGAATGGCAGCCACCAGCCATATGGGGCCATGAGGCACGTGAAATGTGGCCAGTGCAACTGAGGAACTGAATTTATAATCTGTTATAGCTTTAATCATTTAAATCTAAATTGTTCCTCTGACAGCAGAAATCTGGGTATCCTTAACTGTGGATTCTTAACTGTGGATCACACTCTGTTTGCTTGACTAGGTGCTCCTGGAAGGCAGGCGCTGCCTCTTAATCATTTCTGTATTTGCAAACATGGCAAGCGCATGGAATTCAATAGGTCCTTGGTAAACGTTTTTATGACTGACTGATTGAATCAATGAATAAATGAATGAAAAAACATTTTGAATATTCCCATGTGGTGCTGGCTCCTGTTGTGGACAGTGCAGCTGTAGCATTTTTGGCCTGAGCAGCTAGAAGGATGGAGTTCTGTGTACTGAGCTAAGGGAGACTTTGGAGGAGCAGGTTTCATGAGAGTTGAGGAGGAAAGGGAGGACAGATTAGGAGTTGGGTCTCGTTATTAGGTATCCAAGTGGAAATGTCTTGGAGGCAGTTGGGTGTACAAGTCTGGTGTTTAGGGGCAAGCTCTGATCTGAAGATAAGTTTCAGAGTCCCACCTTCAGGCATGGAGCATGAATGAGGCACTCAGAGCCATAACACTGGATGCACAGAGGAAATGAGTGTAGATGGATAAGAGAGGTGGATGAGAAGAGGTTCCTCCAAAGTTAAGCATCAGCAACATTAAGAGGGACCGAGAAGGAAAACCAAGGGGGAGAGGAAGGCAGCTGTGGCATTCTGAAAGCAAGTGCAGGAAGCATTTCGAGGAGAAAAGAGTGATCAACTGGTTCAGATGCTGCCAAATCGTCAAACAGGAGGCCTGAGAATTGGCCATTGGATTTAGCAACATGGATATCATTGGTGAACTTGACAAGAGCAATTTCCATGGAACGGTGATGGTGACCCCCTGATGGGCATGGGTTTATGAGTCAATGGAAGTCAACATCATTAGTCATTAGGGAAATGCCAATCAAACCACAATGAGATACATGGCAATCAAACCACAATGAGATACCACTTCACAGGCACTGGGATGGCTGTAATCAAAAAGTCAGGTAATGACAAATGTTGGTGAGGATGTAGAGAAATTCAAACCCTCATACTTTGCTGGTGGGAATGTAAAATGGTGCAGCCCCTGTGGAAAATCACCTGGCAGTTCCTCAAATTAAACATAGAATTACTGTATGACCCGGCAATTCCACAACCGGAGAAGTCCACCCAAGAGAATTAAAAACCTACATCTACGCAAAAACTAATATGTGAATGTTCATAGCATTATTCACAATAGTCAAAAAGTGGAAACATCCTAAATGTCCATCTGTTGATAAATGGATAAACTAAATGTGCTGTATCCCTACAATGGAATATCATTTGGCAAGAAAAGGAATAGATCAGTGATACACACAACAACATGGATGAACCTTGAAAACATGCTAGACAAAAGAAGTCAGTCACAAAAGAGCACATATCGCATGATTCTATTTATATGAAATGTCCAGAATAGGCAAATCCATAGAGATGGAAAGTAGATCGTGGTTGCCTAGTCTGGGAGATTGGGGGGGGGGTGGAGGTGTGAGGAATGAGAGTGACTGCCAATGGCTGTGGGGTTCCTTTGGGGAGATTATGATGATGGCTAAACAAATGTTTAAACTTACTAAAGACCAATGAATTATACACTTTAAATAGGTGAACTTTGTGGGAGAGCATTGGAGACAAATAGAGACAGCCCTCAAGGAGTTCTGCTCTTGGAGAAATGGGACAGTAGCTTGAGGGGAAACTGAGGTCAAGACAGGGAGTCTTAAAAATCAGAGAGTATGGGGCTGGCCCCGGGGCGTAGTGGTTAAGTCGGCATGCTCCACTTACGTGGCCCGGGGTTCGCAGGCGCGGACCTACACACCGCTCATCAAGCCATGTGTCTTGGCGTCCTATATACAAAAATAGAAGAAGATGGGGACAAGTGTTAGCTCAGGGACAATCTTCCTCACACACACACACACACACACACACACACACACACAAATCAGAGAGTAACAGCACCTTAGAGTACTGATGGGAAAGACCCTGGAGGGAGGGAAAATTGATGATGGAGGAGCAGGTGGGAAGAACCAAGGGAGGGAGATCTTTGAGTACATGATGTCTAGTGCCCAAGTGGAAGGGGTTGGCATTAGCTCAGAGCACAGACTGTTGACTCTCAGTAACGGGGGAAGGTGGCCTGTGTGAGGCTGGACACAGATGAGTGGGAAGATGTGGAGGTGGGGACTCTGAAAGTTTTCTTCTTGTCACCTCTGTTTTCTCAGTGAGATACAAAGCAAGCTAAACTGAGATGCTGGGGGTTTGAGGAGAGAAGGTTTGAGTTACCTTTCTTAGAGAGTAGCAAAGTGGATGGACCGGGAAAACTCTGTCCACAGTGCCTAACAGTGTTAGCACACAGTCGATGCTCCATAAGAATCTGTGAATGAGGCGTTGAGAAATTTCACCTTTACAACCTTGACCCATGGGATTAATATCCCTGTCTTCCCAGAGAGGGCTCTGAGGAAAGAGAGTATCGGGTCTAGATTCAAACAGCTGGCACCAAGACTGAGCCATGAGGCCTCAATTCTCAACCACCCAGACCCCTTGGTTCTCAAAAAAAGGAGGACGCTCAGAAGAAAATAAATAAAATTCTTTATTATATCCTAATCACACAGTACAAATACAGATTAAATAAGAACAGGGAGAAATAGGGGGCCCCAGTACAGCATGTAGGGACTCCTTTCCCCCCTGCCCCTAAAAATCTACACCCTGATCAATAAATACCCCTCCCCAGAGACCCACAAGTCCCTGCCCCAAAAGAGTCCAGGCTGCGGAATCTTGGGTCGACCCCGTCGCTTCACAGAGGAGGGAAACAGGCCCTCCTGTTTCCACAGGGAGAATCCCCCAGCAAGTTCACGGCCCTGGGGCCCCGTCAGGTCTCCTCGTGCCTTCCCTGAACAGCCTTGGGCTGCGCCCCGCGCACCTGATTCATACCTGGACGCGGTATCCCCCCGCCCGCCGCCGGCAGAGCCTCCGCACGCCCACCCAGTAGAACGTGAGCATGACCGCCCAGTACCCCACATAGGCGCCCGCCCCGGTGGCCAGATGAAAGGCCTCGGCGGCCCGCGAAGGGCCGCTCCAGTCGGCCGTGGCCTCGTGCGCCACGCTGCGGACCAAGCCGCCGAGCAGCAGCAGAGCCCAGAGCGCCAGGGGCAGCAGAGGGACGTAGTTAGCGGCCAGCTTCCTGCGGCCCGAGGTGCCCCAGCCGCTCTGGTTCATGGTGGCCAGCGCCAGGAACTTGGCGGGCAGGAGGCCGCACATGTAGAGGGGCGCGTAGAGCGAGAGCAGCACCATGCGCGCGCAGCCGCGCAGCCAGGCCGCGAAGGCCGCCTTGGCCAGCGCCACGCCCTGCACGCACAGCAGCACCCAGAGCAGCGCCCACGGGCGGCCGGCGTAGAAGAGCCGCAGCACGGTGGCCGCCACGAAGAACGGGAAGAGGCCCGAGACCACCGCCTCGTAAGTCATCCACGCGTGGTGCCGGTGCCACCACAGCGCGTTGTATAGCCACTCGCGGAAGTACGACTTGGACCAGCGCGTCTGCTGGCTCAGCCAGCGCAGGAAGGACGAGGGCGTCTCCGAGTAGCAGCGGGAGCGGGCGGTGTACCTGGACCCGGGGAGAAGGAGGGATCAGCACGGCTCCCCCTGCTGGTCGGACAGGAGTGGGGCGCCACTGCCGGATGGCCACTGGGGCCAGTTTTCTCAACCTCTCTGGGCCTCAGTGTTCTTGTATGTAAAATGCGGTCCATAATGGTTCCTACCGAATAGGGCTATTGTGAGGACGGAATGAGGATTAAATGCCAAGTACTTAGGACCAGCATATTGTACTTGCTCAATAAACGTTAGCTACCACTGCTGTTTTTACTATGACTAATATCACTATTGCATTACTAATATCATTGCGGTTATGACGGATGCTGTTACTAATGCTATCACTAATCTATTACGAATACGATTGTGCTCACCATTACTGGCTGGCCCCGTGGTAAGGAACAAGCCAGGCGTGGTTCCTACCTAGGGTAGCCCATGTGTTAGAGCTTCTCAAGGGAACCATCAAGTCCCCTCCTGTGGCCATGGCGACACCACTAGTCAAACCCAACCCCATCCAGCTAAGCCCATACCAGGCTAGAATCTCTTTTATGGAAGGTCATCAGGTGGCCAGCAGCAGTCAGTTTGTTAGGAGGGGTCATCTATTCTACCTCCACAGGCAGTGTACGTGACAGTGTCTTAGTCTCCTTCCTCTGTGTCACTTGGCATCCTCAATGGCCTCCCTGCTCACCCCCATCCCCCTGCACTCTGCAGTCAAAACAGCTGCCAGAGGGATCCTGTTACAACATGTCAGCCCTCTGCTCAGAACCCTCCCAGGACTCCCTCATCTTAGTTGAAAGTTCTTGCCGTAGCCCAGAGGCCGTTCACGAGTGGCCCCCTGGTAACTCTCTGTCTTCCTCCCCTGACACTCTCCTTTGCTATTGCTCCACATGCACTATGTCAGCCTCCCTACCTCTCTTTCCTCGGGCACCATATTTAACATTTCATTCCCTACCCCGAAACTTCCTACCCCTGTTCCTGGCTCTATTTATCTCCAGAGCAGGCGTCATTATGTAACATACTATACATCTACTTATTTATCTCATTTATTGTCTGTCTCTCTCAACGTAAGCATGAATTTGTGTCTCTTTTGTTCACTGCTGTATCCCCAGAGCTTAACACATTGGAGGCACTTAAAGAATATTTGTTGAGTGAATGAATGCCTGGGGTCCCCTGGCGTACCCCACGTTCTCTCTGGCCTTTTCACTGGGTCTAGCTTTGTACAAACTACTTTCCCCTGAACTTCACCTGGTCTAGCCCATCCTCCTCAAGTCTCACTGAATTACATCTCTTCTTCCCGAGACACCTACTAGAGTTTGGGTGCTCCCCTCCTCTCCCACTTGATTCGTCTCCCTCACTCTCTGACTAGTTAGGTCCCACTCTATCTATTTATCTCTTTCCCTTCCCACCTCACTTGGAGTAATGGCTGCTCTCCATGGTAGGGCCATCTTGGCCCATCTCCATTCTATCTTCCAGGTGGAATTCCCCACCCTCCCCTTGCCCCACTTGGTGAAGTCCACTGGGTCACATGGTTCAATGCAAATGCCCCCTCTGTCCCTATGGTATCTTCCAATCTCCCCTAATGTCTTCCTTGGGAGGGCCCATTGTCCTGCAAGTTACTTTGAGTTTGGAGAATTCCCAACACACACACACACACACACACACACACACACACACACACACGCTCTCCGGGATACTCATTGACCTCCAGCACACACCCGACCACCCGGCCCCTTAGCTTACTTGGTGGCATAGCCCATGCTGAGCATGCGGTTGGTGAGATGCCGGTCATCCCCGAAGGTACAGTGGGTGCCCAGGAACTTCTGGTTGTACCAGGCCTCCAGGAACTGCTGCAGGAGGTTGTTCCTGTATAGGCCTAGGTGGGGGTGGGGAGTACAGGAGCATCAGCCTGTGCTGTCGCCAACACCATCCCCTATCTCTGATTCCAACCCCAGTTCATCTCCAATTCCAACCTCATCCTTAACCATCTCAATACCACCCTCAGCTCTACCTCCAACGGCAACTGCAGCCCCAATCTTGTTCTCAACGCAAAACCATCCTCAATCCCATACCCATCCCAACTTGCCCCAATCCTGTCCCTGACCCACAATCACTCTGACAGCAAACCCACCCCAACCACATCCCCAATCCCACATCCATTCTCAGCCCCATCCCCCATTCCTCCTCATCCAAAAACCTATCTCTAATGCAGAACCTGGCCCCAACTCTGTCCTTGACTCTGACCCCATCCTATCCCTCTCCCCAACCCTCCCCCAGCCCCAACCCCAATCCCCATCCACACCCTTTCTCCAACCCATTCCCAACACGAAACACCATCCCCAACTCCAGCTTCCAATCTCATTCCTGTCCCTAATTCCTGCCCCAGGCCCATCTTTGTCCCCAACCTCAATCACATCCTCCACCCATTGCAGCTCCCCTTCTCCCTCTCCACCCCATCCATGGCCCTCCCAAGCCCCACCCCTGCTCACCTAGGGGACCACTGATGCAGGACACGCAGTGGAAGTAGCTCTGACAAGCCCGCTCCACATTGAAGGCCACCCAGTACCGCAGGCTGCTTAGGAAGCTGACCCAGGAGTCCAGGGGGTTAAGGATCCTCACGTCCCCCCCAACAGCCCCCACTCGGGGGTCCTCATCCAGCACCCGCACCAGCTCCAGCAGTGCCATGGGGTCTAGCCTCGTGTCCGAGTCACAGACCTGTGGGGTGAAAGGGGCCAGGATCAGGCCAGATTCCTGCATGGGAATGGTGCTTGAAGGGAGGGATCAAGGGGTGGCAAGCAGCTGGGGCGCTCTGCAGCCTATCTGAACATAACTTCAAATTTTTTAGTTATTTTCAATGTTTAATTACATTTTAAGGTGATTGTCCTCCCCTCCACCCCCCCCAAGACCCATGCTTTTGTATAATACCCTCATCTGGTGTGTGGGCAAGACCTGTAACTTGTTCTAACCAGTAGAATATGACCAAAATGATGGGCTATAACTCCCATGATTATATTACCTTTAAATGGAAATGGTGAAGGGGTTTTGCAATATAATTAAGTTCACTAATCTGTTGGCTTTAAATTAATCAAAGGGAGATGATTGTGGATGGGCCTGGACTAATCAGGTGAGACCCTTAAAAGAAGGTCTAGAAGTCAGAGACTTTCTCCTGCTGGTCTGGAAGAGGCAAGCTACCGTGAGCTCTACGACTGGAAGAAAATGAATTTTGCCAACAAACTCATGAGCTTGGAAGAGGCCCCTGAGCCTCAGATAAGACCCAGCCCCAGCTGACACCATGACTGCAGCCTGATGATACCCTGAACAGAGGATCCAGCTAAGCTTTGCCCAGACTCCTGATTCATGGAAACTATAAGATAATAAACGTGTTTCGTTTCAAGCTGCCAAATTTGTGGTAATTTGTTATGCAGCAATAGAAAACTAATGCAATGCATTAATGAATGAATCTCTACATTGAATGGATGAATAAAGGAATGAATAATCTCTATATCAGATGGATAGATGACTGAATGAGTGAAGGAAAGACTACTCTGAAAGAAGAAAGGGAAGGTGGGAAGGAGAAATTCTAGATTGAATGGATGAATCAATCAATGAAAGAATGAATGACCTTTATATTGGATGGATGGATGAGTGAAAGAGTGAAGGAAAGTTTGCATCAAATGGATGAACGCATGAAGAAAGGAAGGAACGACGAATCTCTACATTGAATGGATACAGGAAGGAATAAAATGAATGATGTCCATATTGGAGGGATGGATAGATGGATGCAAGAATGAGTGAATGAAGGAAAGCATCTCTACACTGAATGGATGAATGAATAAAAAGAGGAAGGAAGAGGTTTGTTCCAATCTCTACATCCAACCAAGGACCCGAGGGAAGTGGGATTGTGGGGGGAGGGGGTCGAGTCACGGGGCGTGGGGAGGCCTTCCGCTCACCTGCACGTAGTCCACCGAGTCGCCGAGCGCCTTGAAGGCGGTGTACATGACCTCGCGCTTGCCGCCCCAGCGCTGCGCCACGCACACGCACCTGCGCGTCCTCACCAGCGCCTCCACCGCCAGCCGCCCGGGGTCCTCGGCCTCCACCTCCCGGTAGGCGCCCGCCGCACCCGCCGCCGCGGGTTCCCAGGGCTGGTGGTAGTTGCCGTCCCACACGTAGGTGGCAGGGTCCTCGTCGGCGAAGACCTCGCGGAACATGTCGACCATGTAGAGGTCCTCGGCGCGGTTGCCGTCCACCACCATGAGGACGCGCAGTCGCGCGCGCGGGTAGAGCAGGGCGCGGGCGGACACCAAGCACTGGCGCAGGTAGGCCGGGTCCTCCTGGTACGCCGAGATGGTCAGCGCCACGCTGCGCGCCGTGTCCGCGTCCAGGGGCCCCCGCGCCGCCGCCCGCCGCGCCGCCGCCGCCACCCGCCGGTGCTCCAGGTACGCGAAGAGGCTCTGCGCCACCAGGTGCGCCGACAGGAAGGCCCCGTAGAGGCCGAAGGCCAGGAGGCCGTAGCGATCGGAGGCTAGCGGCACGCCCGCGGCGTAGGCCCAGGTCATGAGGCCCAGGATGAGCAGCGCGAAGGCGATGGTCAGTACCCGCCGGGCCAGGCCGGAGCAGTGGCGGGCTGGGGGGGTGGGCTTGGAGCCGTCCTGCTGGGAGCGGAGAGAGGGGAGGGTAAGGGAAAAGAGTCCTGAAATCCTCCTCCGGAAAGAGAAGACCTCCTGGGTATTTTTCCCAAGGCGATGATAACATCCCCTTTTTGTAAAGAAAATTCCCTAGGTACTGCAAAGTTATTTTCATCAATGAAAAATTGTGGCAAACAGTTATCAGGGCTTAATGCCTGATTATATTGATTCTAATGCATTTTGTCACATTTTTAACAGCTCTTAAATCTATGAAGATTACACTCAATGGAGTGTCACGGTTTAACAGGGTCCCTCCCTTTCCTAGTGGCACATAAAATAATGATTCATCTCACAATCAAAAGTTTCTTAGTATTGAGACGATGATAGTAATAATAATATACCTGTAAAAGAATAATGCAGTATGATATGTACCAAGTGCTGCTCTAAGCCTTTTATAGGAACTAACTTATTTTAATCCTCACAACAGCCCTATCAGGTCTGTACTGTTATCATCTCCATTCTACAGATGACGCAACTGAGTCACACAGAGGCAGCAACCTGGCTAAGGTCACACCTGGAAAGAGGAGGAGCTGGGATCTGAACACCCTCTCCTGATACAGATGAGGAAACTGAGGCACAGGGAAGTGAATTCTTTTGCCAGGGGTCACTCGGACAGCCTGGCTCCATCATCCTTCTCTATGCTAAGCTGCCTCCTAGGTCACGGGTTCCCACCTCAAGGGCTTGTTACGAGTTAAGTGAGTCATTAAGAGAAAGATCTGTGTTGTCCACTACAGGAGTCACCGGGCCCAGGTGGCTACTGAGCACCTGAAATGCAGTCAGTATGACCGAGGAGCTGAATTTTTAATTTAATTTAATTTAATTTAAATGTAAACACTGTTACTGTTATGGGAAAGCTTTTAAGTATGTTTGGAACGAGTAGGATCTGTGAAGCTTCTTTTCAACTGTAAATTTTACGAGATCTAAATACAGATTAAGTATTTCCAAGGACACTGTAGCGTCTGCGTGAGATGTGCTTACACATCCGGAATTAGAAGCCTGAGTACGAAAAAAGAAATTAAAATATCTCCATAATATTTTTGTATTGATTGCAGACTGAAATGACAATATTTTTGATACAGAGCAGGGGTCGGTACACTCTGGCCCCAAGAGCCCAGTGCCTGCCACCTTTTTACTACGGCCCTCAAGCTAAGAATAGTTTTTACGTTTTAAATAGTTGAAAAAAGTCAAAAGAATAATAATATTTTGCGGCACATGAAAATTATATGAAATTCAAATTTCAGTGTCCGTAAATCAAGTTTTTTTGGCACACCGCCATGCCCGTCTGTTTACATATTGTCTATGGCTGATTTCACACTGCGCCACAGTTGAGTGTTGCAACAGAGACCGTATGGCCCGCAAACCTCAAATGTTGACAATCTGGCCTTGTACAGAAAAAGTTTGCCAACCCCTGATACACTGGGTTAAATAAAACATATTATTAAAATTAATTTCACCTATTTCTTTTTACTTTTTTTAATGTGGCTACTGGAAAATTTTAAATGATGTATGTGGCTCACGTTATGTTTCTCTAGGACAGAGCTGAGATGGAGCCTTTACCTGGCACCGGTAATCTCTCAATATTAACAGTTATTATTATTTCTTCTAGAATTTTCCTTCTCTGTCCCTTTGCCCCAAACCTGGCCCTGCCTGAGTTTCTGGGGGTGGCCCAATTCATGCTGGGAGAACCGAGATAGGTGGGCATCCAGAGGGTTGTAATCTCAGCCACATGCACAAACACACGTGTATCGACTGTGGAAACACCCCACACACGTATACTCACACATGACAAGGAACACACAGAATGTGCCCACACAGGAAAACACTCATGTTCTAGAAGATGACCCCAGACACCTGCTCTCAGGCAGAACTTAGGGATCCTGCGACCCCCAGACAGCCACACAGGTGAACTTGGGGACACATGCCTTTCAGCAGGAAGGAGCAACAACAGGATGAGATGCCCACACGGCAACAAACACATAGACACCCAGCCGTGGGTCTGGAGCAACGGGACAGAGTTTCAGAAGAAATAGTAACAGTTGAAATTGAACCGTATGAAATTGCCATTTTTATAGGTCAAAAGCAATCAGATGTCGGCAATTTCATTTGTTCAAGTTAATATTTATTGAACACCTAAAAGTAGAAATCCAGACCCACGTGTCAGGCAAATACAGCAGCTCTCCCTCTCTCTCCCCCCTCCCTCTCCCCGGCACACAGACATACACGGATTTATAGCAAGATAAAGATGGACATGTCACATCTCACATCCCTATAGGTGGGATGGCCGTCCGCACACACAGCCTCACGTGGTCGCTGCCCCACACAGAAGGTGGTTGTCACCCACACGAGCACACGCATGAAATCTCTCGCACATGGTTCCCTCTCCACATGGTCACACATGTCGTGGTGGTCTCCCACAGGGCCACAGTCACACGCTCACACACCTGTGTCATGGCTGTGGGTCCGCCGGCTCTTTCCCTCTGGCTCGCTGTCTCTCTCTGTGGCCACAGAGCTGGGGGTCCTTTGAAGACCAGCGCGGGCGGGGGTGGGAGGAGGGGCTGACGTCAGGGCTGAGCTGGGCCAGGGGCTGTGAGGTCACGGCCAGCCGGGCAGCTCCACCCGCTTCCCGCCATCACCCCCAGCCCCCGCACCCAGCCAGCCTCCCTTCCCAGTCCCCCATCGCCGCCCTTCCCTCTCCTCTTAGGTCCCCCCATCACGCACACGCACCTCTTTCCCCGTCTCTCTCCCCCATTTCTTCCGCTCTCTCTTCTCTATGCTTCTCTCCCATTTTGTTCATCTCTCTTGTCGCCTATTTCTGTATTTCTCTCCATCTTTCTTTCTCCCCAATCTCTCTCTCCTCCCCCCGTTTCTCACCCACCCTAGTCGCCCCTCTCCCAACATACAGCCTCTCCCCACAGCCGCTCCTCCTGTCCCCCAGGGACTTGTCAGGGCAACTGGCAGATGGAGTAAAATGCACACACGTGCGTGTTTGTGGGTGTGACTGTGTGCGCTGGCTTGTGAGGCACAGCTGTCTGGAATTGGAGCTGTGAGTGAATGTCTGTCCCATCAGTGCCTAATTGATGTGGGTCTGCGTGTGCCTGTTCGTGTGCACGTGTGTGTGCACGCACCAGGGGCTGGGGAGGGGAGTGGAGCACTGGGATTTGTCTCTCCAGGGGCTGGGGGCTGAACTCAGAGAGTTGTTGGTCAGCTGCCCCCAGGAGCCACACAGGAGACTGAGTCAGAGGAGGGGTGAGAGTGGCCTCTCAGAGGCCAAAGAGACGGGGTCTCAGGGCGTCTGAGCCCCCAGCCCCTCAGGACCCAGAGACTCAGTGATAAATGTCATTGTTTCTGTGCCCTTCTTTGCATGAGTTTTTATAAACATCTCTGCACCTACTTCTTTCCCTCCGCTCCTCTTACTGATGTCTCTCTCTCTCCCTACAGCTGTCTCTCTCCCTGTGTCTGCACCTCTGATTATTTATCTCTGTACGTCCTCATCTCCTTCTCTCTCTCTTTGTCATTTTGTCTCTGTCTTCCTGGGTCTGTTTCTCCATCCATCTGTCTGTCTGGTTCTCTCCCTGCCTCCCTAGCTCTGTCATTTTTCTCTCTCTCTCCATTCCCTCTCTGCGTGTCCATTTCTGCTTGCTTCCCTCTGGGTCTGCGTCTGTCTGTCTCTGAATTTCTGCCTCTCAGTCTCCCTGACTTTCTGATTCTGTCTCCCTTTCTTTCTCTGTGTCTTTCCCTGACTTTCTCATCTTTTGTCTCTCTCTCTTTCTCTCTTCTTTCTCTCCTTGTGTTTCTCTGCCTTTCTCTCTCTTCGTCTGTCTCCGTCTCTCTGTTTCTCTCTGAATATCTGTATCCTTATCCCCTTTTTTTTTCTGTCTCCCAGTTTTTGTTTCTGTTTCTATTTTTCCTCTCAATGGCTGCCTGTTTTCTCCTTTCTCTGTCTCTGTCTGTCTCTCTCTATCTCTCGGTCTCTATCCTCCCTCTGTCTCTCTGCATCTCTGTGTATCTCTGAGGCTCTATGTCTCTCTATGTCTCTCTCTCTTTCTCACTCACTGTTTCTCTCTCTTTTTCTGGCTCTAAGTCCTCCCTTCTCCCTGCGGCTCCATCTCATCCAGACTGTCCCGGAGCTTTCCCCTGCAAGATGCCAAGTGCTCGCTCCCCGTGTTTCCCCGGGGACGAGGGTGTGGGGGTCTATGGCCAGGTTGGGCCTTTGCCTGAGCCTGGATGTCAGGGAGAAGAAAGCCAGTTCAGGACCCAAGTGAGGGGCACCCCACCCATCTCAGCAGGGCGGGGCTGGCCGACAGTTTCTGACACTGTTGCTAGGAGCCTGGGCCTCTGCCTGGTGTCTGGCTATGTCAGGATGATGGGTCCTCCGGTGGGAGCCAAGCCCAGAGCAGGAGGGGAGGGTGATTCTACTACCCCGGCGTGGGGGTGGGGGACAGCCCAGGCTCCACTCAGAAGCTGGGCATTTGGTTGCCCAGCCCCCACCCTGCCCTGCCTGGGTGGAGCAGCTGTATAAAACCAGATGTTTCTAAAACCAGAGTGTGGATGATGGAGGAGGGACCAGGACTTTAAACCCCAGTGTTTCTTCCTGCAGGATCCAGGAGTCTAGACCCCCAGCCCCTCCTCCCTCAGACCCAGGAGTCCAGGCCCAGCCCCCTCCTCCCTGAGACCCTAATGTCCAGTCTCCCAGAATTCCTTGCAGGGAGAGATGACCAAGGCTGGAAGCAGCCAAGACAAGAGGTGAAAGACCAGGACAGATGAAAATGGGCCCTCCCACAAGAGGCAGGGCCTGGTAGTGGTGGGACCACCTCCTGCTCCCCTCTGTAACAGCCATCTCTCCCAGAACCCTCCCCTGCAATGGGGGCTGATCTCTGGTCCCTGCCCTGGGTCCACAGTGGCCCTCCCACGATTTCAGTTATCATCAGACAACCTCGGGGTGTGGTTTACAGAACACCAGGGCAGAAGGAGGGAAGAGTGGGGAGGTAATAAGGCAGAAATGGACAAAAAGCAGAGGAAGGAACATTATTCACCGTAGAGACATCTCTTGTGCCAGTGGTGGGCCAGGCTCTCGGCTGGGTGATGCCAGGCACACAGAGATGACTCAGACCCGGGCCCTGCCCTTGAGGAGTTGCCAATCTGGTGGAGGAGACAGCTGTGTAAACAGAAAAACCACAGACCGGGATGTACCAACCTGGGGGTGGGGGAGTCAGGGAGGGCTTCTTGAAGGAGGGAATGTCCTGGAGGAGCTGAGTCCTGACTGATAAGGAGTTAGCCAGAGCAAGCGGGGGTGGGGTGGGGCTGGGGGTTGGAAGGCGGGCTGGGAAGGGCATCAAGGCAAGAAATGTCCTGGCCAGTCAGGAAAGTACAGGCAGGTTGATGTTGTCAAGCATAAAGGGTGAAGCACAGGGGTGGGTGTGGAGTGCACAGCCAGGTTCTCTCCATGCAGGCTTTTGAATGTAGGACTTTGTCCTGGGTGCTGGGGAGCCATGGGATGGCTTGGAGCAGGGGAGTGGCAGGGTCAGCTCTGGGCGCCTGTGAGGGATAAACTGGATGAGGGACTGGGGACTTTGAGCCAGGATGTCTGGGTGGCAGGGTCATAGGAGGGTCTTCTCTGGGCGAGAGAGAGCTGAGTCTGAGCTTCGATGCAGGCAGAGGCTGTGGGACTGGAGGAGCAATGGGGTCGTGCAGAGCGAGGTTGAGCAGAGGTGTCTGAGGAAACCCTGAGGGGCAGGGACACTGGAGAGCAGACATGGTGGGCGGGCTCACTGAGCCTTTCCTCTGAGCTCCTTCTGACCACATTTGCCTCATTTTGGGCAGGTACCTGCTTAGTGATCACTGGCCTCCTGGGGAACTAGGGAGGGTAGGGCCCGGGAGTAACTTGAGGAAGTCTGGGTTTGTTAAATGCTTGAGTCCAGGAAAATGATTTCTCTGCCAGGTGTCCTGGGTGGGAAGGAAGTGCTTCAGGACAGTCTAGATACTGAGAGACAGAGAAGACAGGAAGGAAGGGAGGAGGGAGGAAGGGTGGAGGAGGGAGGGGTGGGAGGAAGGAGAGGAGGGAGAAGGAGGGAGGAAGGGAGGGAGAATGGGAGTGAGGAGGAGGGGAGGGAGAGAGGAGGAGGGAGGAAAAGAGGGAGGAAAGGAAGGAGGGAGAAGGGGAGTGGGGAGGATAGGAGGGAGGAGGTAAGGAGGGACGGGATGAAGCTGGAGGCAGGGGACACAGGAGGGAGGGAGGATGGGAGGGAGGAGGAGGAGGGGACAAGAGAGGAAGGGAGGAGGGTGGGAGGAGGGAGAGGGGCTGGCTCACCTGACCACCCTGTTTAGTGTGGAAACCTGCCCCACCCTGGAGTCCTGATCCCCTGTACCCTCCTCTACTGGCTCTGTTCTCCACAGCATCTATCCCCCTCCCACATAAAGCACACCTGGCCTGGTTATTATCTTTTCTGTACGATGTGCGTCTCCCTTGCCAGAATGCAAGCTCTACACAGGCAGCGGTCTTGGCCTGTTGTGTTCACGACTCTGTTTCCTCAGGGTTGGACGGGTGCCTGGTACATAGTAGGTGCTCAATAAATATGAATGAATGAGTGAGGTTGGGATGGAGAGTCAGGGTGGTGGACAGAGAGGGAAAGAGAAAGAAGAGGAGGACAAGGAGGGAGGGGACGGAGAGGGAGAGACAGGGAAGAAGGCAGAGAAGTGCGAGGCAGCTGGGACCCCCACCCGACCCAGCAGCTCGGGGTGGCCACCTCTCAGAGGGAAGGAATGGGAGCTCCCAGGGAGGTGGGACTCTGGGCGAGGCCTCCCTGCATCAGCAGAGTTCCCGAATCTGGAAGCAGAGCACCTCGGGCTTCCAAGAACTCAGACGGCGTGGTCCCCGTGCTCTCAGTGGAGCCTGGACCCGCTGGAGTTACGCGGGGCCCTTCCTCCCACACACCCTTGTTGTGGGAAACACCTCAGCCCCCAAGATTCTGCAGAAATGCTGGGACAGAGGGAGGGAGCGAGGGTGGGAGGGAGATGCTGCTGACTCTACATCCAGCTTTTGCCTCTGGGAGGAGCTGTGGGACCTCTGGAGAGGGGAGGAGGAGGGGAGGGCCCTGTCTGCCCATAACACTGTCCTCCAGCTGAAGATGCCTCCACTCCAGCTTCCACCATTGCTCCTACCATTTTCTCTGGAAGGAAACAGAGCCAGAAATAGCCAGAGAGAGAGGGAGCCTTCCTTTTGCAGCCTCTTTATCCTTACAGCAAGAGAGGAGGGCTCTCATTTTCCAGAGAGGGAAACTGAGGCCTGGCCAGCGTGACGCAGCTAGGGGGCAGCAGAGCCAGGCAAGAAGGTCACTGTGGGAGGAGGGGCTGGGGGCCTGGACTCTTGGACCAGAGGAGGAAGATCTGGGATTTACACCCCTGTGTGCTGAAGAGGAGGCCTGGCCCTAGGACTCTTGAGTCCATCACCCTCTGAGCTCTGACAG